GCCCTTCAGACGGCTTAAGGTGGCTCAGGATGGACCATCAAGGATGCACCAAGAGGGTTTTAGAGACTGTGGTACAGCTGAGGCTGCTAAGAGACTCCAGGCGCCCGGGAGCAAGAGCAGGCGCGCATGCCTTTGTGACTGGTCCAGATGTCAGCTTCCAAGGAAAGCATGAGGCATTCTTTGAGCTTTCATTGCTCAAAGCAATGATTAACTTGTCAGTTGCTGTGTTGAGCTGAATACTGCTGTCCAGGACTCTGCCACCCACTGTAGCAGAAGTTCTCCTGTCCCTCTGTGCCTGCTGTTTGCCCAAGGACATTTGGTCTCTACTGTGTACAGGCCTCTGAGGACAGAGCAGAGCAAAAGTCTATGTATTTATTCAACTGGACAGGAAGCTGGGAGGAAGAGAAGGAGGGAGGAAGGGATGGAAAGAGAGAGATGAGGGGGCAGTTACTCTGTCGGGGAGAGCACACAGTATCATGGGGGCCTGAAGGGTGTGACACTCACTACACCGTTCACAGGGTTGATAGCAAACGTATGGCTGAGTTGGGGACTGAGGAAGGGGAGTAGACACCAAGGAGGTGCAAGAGCAGGGGACCTCCTGGTGCACGGGACAGCCTGGCCTGCAGGCAACCTGACAACCGGCTGTGAGCAGGGGAGGTAGCCCAGCTGATTGGAGATGGGGGCTGCACTCTGGAAGAGACTGTTCTTTGGATGGAGGAGGTATGAGATTGGCAAGATAGTTCCGGGAAGAGGAGTGGGGAAAACCACCAAAACACTGTAAAGTGTGTGCCAGGGGAGATGAGGGGGATTCAAACTCTCAGGATATAGAGTTGAGGAAAGGGCAGAGTGAGAAATATTATAATAGAGCAAAAACATTTGGGATGAAAGAAAAGAACGACTCCTAAGACTTAGGTGCCTGGGAGATAAAGGGAGGAGGAAGAGCTAGGGATTTGCATCAGGCAAGGTGAGGGAATGGAGGTCCCAGGAGAGTATGGCTCTGAGTGTCACACATAGCAGGGAAGGAAGGTTCTAGAAGCCGGGGAAGGGGCAGGAGAAGCAAGATAGCTAGAGGGAGCATCAGGGGAGACACAAAAATAAGGGCGTGGTAGTTTGAATTGAATTGGCCCGCATAAGCTTATAGGGAGCGGCACTATTGGGAGGTGTGACTTTGTTGGAGTAAGTATGGCCTTGTTGGAGGAAGTGTGTCACTGTAGAAGAGGGCTTTGAGGTCTCATATATGTTCAAGCCATGCCCAGTATCTCAGACCACTTCCTGTTGCCTGCAGATCAAGACATGTTAACACGCATCTCCTTCTCCAGCACCATGTCTGCCAGCATGCCACCATGCTCTACCATGATGATAATGGAGAAACCTCTGAACTGCAAGCCACCCCAATGCATGTTGTTCCTTTGTAAGTGTTGCCGTGGCCATAGTGTCTTTTCACAGCAATAAAAACCCTCACTAAGATAACTCTTTTTTTTTTGTTTTGTTTTTTTTGGGACAGGGTTTCTCTGTGTAGCTTTGCGCCTTTCCTGGAACTCGCTTTGGAGACCAGGCTGGCCTCGAACTCACAGAGATCCGCCTGCCTCTGCCTCCCGAGTGCTGGGATTAAAGGCGTGTGCCACCACCGCCCGGCTAAGATAACTCTTTTTAAAAACAAACAAACCAACAAACAAAAAACCAAAAAACAAGAGACTTTGGTGTACATCTATGAGGGCAAGTAGAGAGGTGAGAAATAAAGGAGGGGAGGATATCATGGATTAGGGGAGGGTAAGGGAGGGCAGGGGAGAGTAAGGGAGGGTAGGGGAGAGTAGGTAAGGCAGGGGGGGGGAATTGGAGGCCAGAAAAGAGAGTGAAGGAGGGGAGAAGGTGGGAGAGGAAGCTAGATGAGAGGTTAGGAGAGAAGGAGAGGAGAGGAGAAAACAAGAGGGGAGAGGACCTGATAGAAGACTGTTTTTGAGGAGAAAGGAAGTGATCAAACCACTAGGCATACATACAGGTAAGGTGGAGGTGAAGTGGACATGACAAAAGTCTGTGCGTGCTCCCCGGAGAGCCCTAAGCTTGGCAAGCCTCCAGGAAGCACAATGTGAGGGGACAAGCCACGGTGGGCAGGCACTGGTTTATAGACACACCTGACTGCCCTCCTGGTGGTCAGTTCCCTGAACCTGCCCCCCACTGTCCCCAAGTTCTGTCTGAAATGGGAACTCACCACACAACAACAGCTGGCCTTGTGGGAGTCAGTAAGGGGGCCTCATGTCTCCTGGGAAGCATGCTGAGACCTCAAATGGGCCTTGCACCTTGGTTAGTGGAAATAAATGTCCTTTACATGCTCTAGTCAGAATTTCATGAGGTTTATGTTGATAGTGATATTGATTTTCAACTTGACAAGATCTAGAATAACCCAGGGCACAAACCTCTGGGTATGTCTGCAGGACGTAGATGTTTGTAGATAGCATTAATTGATGTGGGAAGGCTCACCTTAAATGTGGGGAGGACCAATCTATGCACTGATTCCTAGACTGAATAAAAACAAGACTCTGAGCTGAGCTGGGCCGTCATGGCGCATGCCTTTAATCCCAGCACTTGGGAGGTAGAGGTAGGTGGATCTCTATGGGTTCAAGGCCAGCCTGGTCTATAAAGTGAGTTCCAGGACAGCCAGGGCTGTTACATAGAGAAAAACAAATGAAAGAAAGAAAGAAAGAAAGAAAGAAAGAAAGAAAGAAAGAAAGAAAGAAAGGAAGGAAGGGAGGAAGAAAGGAAGGAAGGAAGATAGAATCTGAGCTGAGAAGCAGCATTCACCTCTTCCTGCTTCCTGACTGTGAGGACAATGTGACCGCTGTCTCACACTCCCGCTGGCCTGGCCCGCCCTTCCCACCACGTGGACTGTACCCTCTAGCTGTGAGCCACAACTAACCTTCCCTTTCTTCTGTTACTTTGTTCACAGCAATGAAACATAACCTGTACAATATCGACAGGTTAAGGGAACAGATTTGAGTATAAAGTCTGAGACAAGTTGTTCTTGAGGAAAATGTAAACTCTTCACTTTAAAAATGACTGATAAAGAGTGAATAGGGGCTCACTTTTCACAGTGTTGGAGGTTTTCAGAACATTTTGAAATATCACTTTACCATGGTCATTTGGTTTAAACCAATACTACATTAAGTAAATGACTGTCACCCACAAAGTCAGCCATCATACAAACAAGGGCTGGGCACATGGCACATAGTGAGCACTTGCCTAGAATGAATGTGATTCTTTGGTTCATTCCTAGCACCTCAGAAAAAAGGAGAAGGAGGAGGAGGAAGAGGTGGAGAAGGAGGAGGAGGAAAAAAAGAAAGAAAACACTGGTTAAATTGCGTGACCGTGGAAGTTGCCGTGGGACATGCTAGTTTGTTTCTCTAGTGCTGGGCTGCAGCACAGGCATCAGGAGACAGAAGAATAGCATGAAGCACCAGCAACTCCACATGCTCTCTATTCCTGGCTGCTGGGAACTGTGGGGATCACTGGGTGGGGCCGTCCTAAGTGGCGTGAAGGAGAAGTGGGATTCTCATCGTCCACAGGCAGGAAGCAGCAGTGGCCACTCCCTCAATCATTCCTCTCATGACAGACAGGCTAAGGGCTGAACAGGGAGCATCAGCACGTAGAGGCTTCCCTGGCCCCAGCATGTCCAGGAGGGAAGCATGAGGACCTGGAGGGCTAGGCACCCTGACCCACAAGGACAAAGCTTGGGGTGGCTGAACTTCTGCCTCCCTGCTTAGAAAATGAATGCTTGAGGCTGCTGTGCCAGGGCGGTGTGATTAAAAACACAGCAAACACACATTCTGACAGTAACTTACTCTTTGCTAACACATGTCTCTTTTCCAGAGCTGCAATGAGGTCTTGAAAAGGTATTTCAGGAAACATCAGCCCCAGAGACTGTGTGAAGTTTATGCTCCTTAACAATGTTAGGGTTCCCACAGGACAACTAAAAACTCACACTTCCCTTCTGGCTTCCTCTGTAGATAAAAATCCTCAGAACCATCTTTAAGATCCCCAAGACGTTTATAATCATTACTAGCAATGGCTTTTGCAAATGGCCTGGCATTTTAGAAAGTCATCTTTAGGCTTTCCCACTGTTTATATTTACACCATTTTCCATTTTACTTGGCCTTAACATGCAAGGTAAGAATTACAGAATTAACAGTGGGTGCCTGACGTTCCTCGCAGGTCACTTGACTAGCATTTCTCAGTACCCTGTCAGGAGATGAGTTACATGCCTCTCCCTCCCTCTGGTTTTGTTGCCCTGTAGGGAAAGGTTGAACTGGGAATAGATTAGAAAGGAAAAAAATATTTTCAGAATTGCCACCTGATTTAGCCAAATCATTGTTGTGGTTCTCACAGTGAGTCCCACAATTTCTCTGTCTTTATTCAGAAAAGCCAGTGTCTGAATCGACACCCTTGCTTGGAATGGGATCTTCCAGCGACTAGATGAATTTTTGACACAGTGCCCAACAGAATGCTCACATCCATCCATTGCTCGCATCCATGCAGTGTCCACTCTCTCCTCCAGCAAGGGCTTTCTAATTACCTAGTGAGTGAGGTCAGTTTGGCAGGCGGGGAGAGGGGTGTCTCTTACAAGTTGGGAGCTTCCATGGCCAAAAGGGGCCCCATTGAAATGCCACGGATAGCAGCATGCAACCCTTCGGAGCCCACATTCTGCCACAAACAAGAAAAGCTTGGCTCAATTCACATTGGCACGAGTGTGTCCAGAGTGTCCTGGGTGGCTAGCTGCTAGAGACAAGTTCCAACATAGCTTCGCACCCGGGAACCAGCACTTTCCCTAACTTCAAAGAAACAAAGTTTGGGACCAGGATGAAATGAATGGATGCAGACACCCGGCACTGAGCGGGGAAAAGTGGGAGCGTGGGGGTGTTTGTGGGATGCGAAAGGATCTAAGATTCAGGCTTCGAAGCAGTGGCAGGGCACAGAAGGAACCCAGCCCCGAGAAGGCTGGCACTTACCCGCGTTCCGCAGCTTGCGGTTCCTGAGCACAGAGAGGATGACAAGGAGGTTCCCCACGACATCCACGGCTGTGGTGACAACGACCACTGTAGATAGCGTGGGAGCCACCCAAGGAGCCCGGGGAGTCCCTGATGGCCCTGCGCCTACTGACCCGGACCAGCTAGGGCGCGCCGCCAGCCGGCCGGCCTCAGAGCAATTGGCCGCAGAGCTGTTCTCCGGCATCCCCAAGCTGTCAGAGGCACAAGCACTCCTTCGGACACTCCCGTCGTCGCCTCCTCACCGCCCGCCCGACCCAGCCTCCTCACCGCCCGCCAGACCCAGCGACCCAGCGAGTGCTAGCAAGAGGCGGTGGGGAGGGACCTAAAGGAGACAATTAATTGAACGTGGGCAGAGGGGCGGAGAGAAATAAAGGATCCAGACAAGGACCTGGACTCAGATGTTGTAGAAAGGATTGCATCCTCAGAGGCACACTCAGAAACAGTGCTGCAGCATCTCAGCCCTGCCGCCGGAGCTCAACCAGTGTCTGGCCCACTTCAAGTGGCCTAGTTGGTAAGGACAGGGTCCCTAAAAACCAAGAACCCCTAGTTCCTTTACAACGTGGAGAAGCTGAGTCCATTTGGGGACACCCTGCTTTGCAGCCTGGAGTGAGTGCTGGTGGTTCTGGTTCGAGCTACCTGATCCTCAGAAGGCTCTGCCAGGTGGTGCAGCTCTAAAGAGCACATGACTCCTGGGGAATGAGGAGCAACCCCAGGGCAAAGAAGCCAAAAGTGTTGAGCTCTGAAAGGTGACGGGAAAGCTATCCCTTAGCCGCGTGCTGTGTGTTGTGGATGGCCTTGAGGTCAGTGCTGGAAAACCAATACTTTAAAAAATACTTACGTGGATATCTGGCTACATCATAAGACAGGCTTGGAGACAGGGTGGAGTTTGAGGAAAGAGAAGATATAAAACGGCATTTCAGAGAGCGAGAACTCTCCCTAGGAGGCACAGAACGCATGCATTCCAGGAGTGTCCCTGTGTATGACTTTAAACTAAACCAGACACTTGCGGTGTCAATCAGCAGCCAGCGCTGCTCAGACGAGCAGGTGAGAAAGAAGTGAAATCACAGGAGAGGTCATGCAAGGCCAATGAATTGTGCTGAGTTGTCTTATTTTTAAAAGTGTGATCTCGAGAAAGCAAGTGCTTAGAGATGTGAAGTCTCCTTGCTTTCTTCGTGGTGCTGGGTTTTGAACTCAGGACCTTGTGCTTGTGAGCATGCCCACTTCACTGAGCTATGCCCCAGCCTGAAAAACAGATTTCTGAGGTGTGGAGGCTCTTGTTGGGAAGGCTCAGAGGATGCTTATGGAGTTGGTCTCTGGAGAGAGGCAGAAAAACAAGGAAGGGGGGTTAGAGATGGGGAAGCCTGGAATGGAGATGTAGGTTAGTGAGCTGCTTTTAGTACACGTGAGGTTCAGGGTGTTCTACCACTGGATGAAAGGAAGAGGAAGAAAAGGAAGAGGAAAGAGGAAGGGGAGGGAGAGGGAAAGAAGGAAGAGGAGGGGAAGAGTGAGAAAAGGAAGCAAAGAGAAGGGGGAGGAGAGGGATCAGGAGATGGGCAGAGTGGGGAGGAGGAAGGTAATGGGGAGGAAAAGGGGACAGGAGATACAGATACAGGACAGAGTGAAGGTCCACTTTGACGGGAAGAGACAACGGCCAAAATACCCTTTTCTTCCACACGCAGACCTACAGTGAGACCCCTCTGGCTATTAGCAACATTCATAGCACAAGTGGAATATCAGCTATGCCGCCTCCATTCAAACATACTCTAATAACGACATTTGGCTAATGGAGTGCCAAACACAGGAATCGGCCCTGTGCTGTCCTGGAATATAATTTTGCACCTTGCCTGCATGCACAGTTGTGTATGTTAAGACCTTTGGGATTGGGGTACTCAAAGTCAATGCTGTATCCTGACCCAGCAGGCTGTGCTGGGACTTGAAGGCACACAGCAACTGTAAAGTCAATTTAAAAGTCAAAACTAAATATACTTATATGCTTCAGCAATTTTTATTCATACCATTTTTTAAAGATCTGTTCACTATTTTTATTTGTGTGTTTGTGTGTGAAACCAAGTGGAGGGAGCTGCTTACTGACTTGCTCATCATGACTTATCCAGCCTGCTTTCTTATAGAACTCAGGACCACCAGCCCGGAGAAGGCATCACCTATAGTAGGCTGGACCCTCCCCCAACAATCACTAATTAAGAAAATGCCCTACAGCTCGATCTTATGGAAGCATTTTCTCAGTTGAAGTTCTCTACCTTCAGATGACTCTAGCCTGTGTCATTGGCATAAAACTAGCCAGCACAATGACTGCCTTATAAAAGGAAACCTTTAATTTGGGACTTGCTTACAGTTTCAGGGGATTAGACTAAAACCATCAGGCAGAGAGCGCAAGCAACAGGCAGGCAGGCATGACACTGGAGTAGCTGGGAGCTCACATCTGATCTGTAAGTTGCAAGGATGGGGGAGAAAAGACTGAGCCAGGCATGGGCTTTTAAATCCTCAAAGCCCCCCCCCCCCCAGTGACATACATCCTCTGAGGCAACACCTTCTCAACTTTCCCAAACAGTTCTGATAACTGTGAACCAAACATTCAAGAAGATCAGTGCTTACCAGGAACTGGGGAAGGAATGCATGGACAGCATATGAAGGATCTTTAGGTCACTGAGACTATTCTGTGTGATCATGGAGGGCATGATAGTAATCTGCTTCTATTGGTAGATGGTAGACTCTGTCCAGATCCATTGCACATGAACCAAAGGCAAGCCCTAATGTAAACTGTAGAGTTTGGGTGACAAGAGTGTGCCAACGTGGTGTTATAGATGTGCCAAATGTCCTACTTGTTGCAGGAACTTGAAGGGGAGGTTGTGTGTATATGGGGCCAAGGGGTCTGTGGGAACTATTCTTTTTCTTTCTTTTTTAAAAAATTTTATTGTGACTCTAAAATAAAGCTCTTTCTAAAAGAAAAGGATTTTGGCTGGGAGAGTGAAAATTTCCCCAAGCTCAAGCTCATCCTTCCTCAACCCAATAGAGCTTATACAAACATCATTATGACTAACTAGATCCAGGGTAGGCAGTCCTGATAGGATGTTGGGGCTATGGCATCCAGGTAGTGTCAGACTCAAGAGAGTGGGTTTCATGTTCAAGGAAGACATTCTAGAAGGAGTGATTTCAGGGCCTGGTCTAGAGAAGCAGAGTGAGGTTGAGGGCTCTTGAGGGCTTGGGCTCATATCCAAGCACAGGGAATATGTTGAGAGAGTCTTAGACGTCTGTAGCCTGTTGTAAAGTCAGACTCTTGTCTGCTTCTTCTCTGCTGTGGTTTGGGTATGTGTTGTGTTGGGTGTGTTTTAGGTACATATTAGGTATGTGTTGGGCATTGTTGAGTATGTATTGGGTATGTGTTGAGTGTATGTTGGGTTGGGTGCATCTTAGGTATGTGTTGGGTAGGTGTTGGGTATGTGTTTAGTGTGTGTTGAGTGTGTGTTGAGTATGTGTTGAGTGTGTAACCCAAGTTTGCTGTTAGAAGTTTTATTTCTGGAAGCTTGGTTCCTAGAGTGGAGGTGGCCATGGGTAGCAGAACCCTGGAGAAGTGGGGCCTGGTGAGACCTGGTGAGACCTGATAGGTCTAGTGAAGATATGGGAGGTTTTGCTTGTAGAAAGGACTAAAATAGGTCTCATGATATTAAAGTCTTGTTCTTGTTTCTTGTGTCATCATGTAATCTATCCCTCTCATGTATGTGCCTGCCACCATGATGCCATGTGCTACAAGGCCTTCACCAGAGCCAAGATGATGCAGAAGTCATGTCCTTGAACCTCTAGAAATGTGAATCAATGAAACTTCTCTTATTTCTCAAGTACCCAGCTTCACAGATTCCATTATAGTGACAGAAAATAGACTGTTTGCTTTCCAACTGTCAGAAGCAGCTCTCTCACTAACAGATAGGAGGTAATTTCCTTCTTATTTGATGGTGATCTCAGTGTTCAATTAGAAGGACCTGACCCTGTCCTTGGGTGACACTGACTCCTGAGTAAGTCTCCTTGATTTTTTTAAAAATTTGTTTTATTTTAAATTATGTATATATATACATACATGTGTGTGTGTGTGTGTGTGTGTGTGTGTGTGTGTGTGTGTGTGTGTGTGTGTGTGTGTGTTTGTATGTGGGTATATGCACATGTGAGTGCAGTGCCTGCAGAGTCCAGAAGAGGGTGCTGAATCCCTGAGCTGGAGCTAAAGCAATTGTGAGCCCTCTGACTAGGTACTGGGAGCCAAACTTGGGTCCTTTGTATGAGCAGTAAGTGTTCTTAACTGCTGAGCCATCTCATTACTGTTGTTTGTTATCCCACAATTTCTAGATTGGATGCCTCAACAAATAAGATTAAATGTTTATTTTGTATATACAAATATGTGTGCTACACATGTTATGAAAATTTATATGTACATTATTTTATATTATTAATTTACAAATTATGTATATAACTTAAACTGCTTAATCTTTGCCTTATTAGAATTAAAAGTAGTTTGCAGTTTACTTGAGGAACATTACTTAAAAATAAACTTTAAGCCAAATATCTTCAATAGAAAAATTCAAGAGAAAGGACTACATGATAATAGTGATGATCCTGACTCCAGTAGAGGAAAAGCTAATTTGGAATCTTAATGAGACGCAGATAAAGGACGGTTAGTCTCAGAACAGGATGTTGGGCAAGTGAGCCCAGGAGTGAACAGCATGATTAGTTATATGTATGGGCTCCATCTCTGGGGGCACAGTGTATGGGTCTTCCTGACCTCTGAGGGCAGAGTGCAGACCCTCTGCCCCAGAGGCTTGGCTGGGTAGATGGGAGGTGTATTAGTCAGTTTTTTCATTGCTATCATCAAATATATAGTAAGAAACAATGTAGGGAAAAGAGGCTGATTTGGGGCCACAGTTTAAGAGTCCACTATGGACAAGGCACTAGGCAGCTGGTCTACACAGTGAGGATGCGGAGAGCAGTGAATGCCGGTACTCAGCCCCCTGTCTCCCTTCTGTTACATCAGTTCCCTCTCAGCCTATAGGATGGTGCTGCCCACCTCAATTCAATTTCTCTGGAAACATCCTCGCAACACATCTGGAGATGTGTTTCCATGATTCTAAATCCCAGCCAGTTGACAATGCAGATGAACTCTCCTCTCACAGGGGTGTTCAGTCTCTCCTCGGGGCTCTGCAGAGGTACCACCAACAGACCAAGCCTTTGCTCCGTTAGCACACAGGCCCATGGCTCAACAGCTTTGCCTGGGCTTTTCAGGTCACAGGGTCAGAAAACCATCTAGGTTCTCCCTGTGGTTTCTCCAGTAGAGATATTTTCCTGTTCTAGTCCAGTTAATTTTCTAGAGTCTGTCGCAGGCCGCAAAGCCAGAACGAATGCTTCATCGTAGAGATTTGAGCTAGTGCTGGTGTGTGGAGCACCACTCCCCGTCAAAAACATCCCATGGGAATGACTGATGGGAGTGCCCCAAACACCCCCAGACAAGCCATGGGTATCCTTGAAGAAGGACATGGGTTGGTCATAGAATCCAACCAGGTTGCAGGGCTAGCTACGACCCGAGCTCTCCAGCAGGAGCTGGGGCACTTCTGTTTGCTCATGTGTTGACTTAGGTTTTCAGCTCATGGCGCTATTTGGGAGGTTGTAGAGGTTAGAGTGTAGGACTTGTCTAGAGGGTATAGGGTACTTGAACTATGACCCTGGAGGTTGTAGTTTATCCTGGTCTCTCTGAGGGGGTGAGTTCCTCCTTTGTCACATGCTCTCATCTCCAGGATGTCAGCCCAAGTTCATAGGGCACATGGTGGTTGTGTATTTGCTGTAGAGCCAAGGATGACATTGAAATTCTCCTGCCTCCTATGTCCGGGATTATAGGCATGCATCTCCATGCCTTGTTTCTGAGATGCTGGAATCAAACCCAGGGTTCTGTGCATGCTGGACAAGCACTCTAGTAAGTGAGCTTCTCTCTCCAAGCACTGTGTTTGAATGGTTGACTCTCTCTTTTCTTTTAATACATTTTTAATTGAAATGGACTGATGACTCTCCTAATTTCCTTCCCTCCAATCCTCAAGTACACTGCCTCCAACCCCTCCCTCACATCCCCATTCTCCACTTGATAGCCTGCTTTTTATTGTTACATATATGTATATGTATGCTTACTATGTATAAGTAGATCCTCTGAGTTCATTTTTGTTGCCATTGTGTTGTTTGGTGGCAGTGCTGGGTCCCATTGGCATCACGTAGGGACGTCATGTAACTCTACGCATGCTGCGCCAGCTCCTCACTTCTGCTGTGACAGCTTACCTGAGAGGAAAACTTCTCCACACTTCAACCTGCTCTGTCATTCCAATATTTCCCTGTCC